ATGTCCTGTAACTGTGGTAAGTCATCTGTCCTCTTGTTCAGGGAGGCCATGGAAACCCCACGAGATGGACTTGAACCAGTGTCCAGTCTACAAGAGGAGGGTTGACTCCGTGTTTCCAAGGGAAGCCAGGCATGGTCAAGTAGGCTTTGACTTATCTTCACATAGATGGAACTGGTAAAAGAAAGGATCCAGGGGCTCCTCCCACACCCACGTGAGCCCTGAGGAACAGATCCTAAAGCAACCTTAAGTATAAATATAAATTGATTTATTTGGGCCAACTGTATGGTCTTAAACACCCAAAAGGAAAGTATAACCAAAGAGTAAAGTGATCAGTATATTTCTTTAAGAGTTCAAGGGATTACACTTGCTTAAGTCCATATAAAAAGTTATTTAGACAACTATTTCTCATTGATAATTTTGTTCCTAACCAGAAAGTGCTGCTCAGATGTAAGACTTCAGATCTTGGTCTTCAATACTGTAGTGCCCATCTGTAACTGAGGGAGACAACCCGCTATTTTTCTAAAATGATGGCAAAATTTGTTTCTTCCCCCTATCTAGAAGCCTTTGAGAGGGAACTGACACTGATTCTAACCCCCCCAACAGCTAAAAAAATGCCTAAAAGCAAACCCTAAATCCACCCCTTTCGAGTCCATTTTTGGCAAAAAAAAAAAAAAAAAAAAAAGAGGAGGAACCCAATAGAGGGATGCTTTTGGGAGCTCTCATCAAGAAATGCCAGTGGACTCTCATATGAACATTTGAAATTTTCCCTGTTCTGACTTTTTTCTAGTTCCCTGTCTAGAACTTGTAATGCTAACTACCTTGCCTTTACTTCTATTCACCAGTCAAAGACTTTCTTTTCCCCCTACAGATAAGAGTTATGCAATTTGGGAGTCTTTTAGATAGACCCACTGAAGGGGGTACCCCAATTGCCTCATCCTGAGTCCCTGTTCAGCATGGAAGAAGCCAGAGAGGTCTGCATCCTGATTTCCTATCCATGAGCTGGGTAACCTCTTCGGAGGATGGTATGATAAGAACAGAAGGTTGGAATTGGCTAGGCAGTTAGGGTAAAAAGACCCCAAAGAAAAGTATCTAGCTTCTTGGCTAAAAGTCAAAATGTCTTTGGGCCTCTTAGCAACATACTCTGTTCCAAAGGCCAAAAACGTCTAAAGTATTTGAGAGCTGTTATCCAATCCTTAAAAGATTTTAGGGCTACCTCTTCAGAGGGGGAATGTTAGACTAACTAAAAGCCCCATTTTAGAAGAAGGAGGAAAAGGAGGAGGAGGAAGAGGAAGGAGAAGGAGAAGGAGAAGAAGGAGTAAATGAAGTTATCAGAAAAAAGTGATGGGAAGATATGGGAGGAGTTGGAGGGAAGGGAGTAGGCATGGATTTGATCAAAACACCTTATATGCTCATATCCATGTATGACATTCTCAATAAATTATTTTAAAAAGAAAAGAAAAGAAAATATAAGGTTACTACTGTAGGGAGTTTGGAGGTGTGACCAGTGAATTTGTTGAGTTGGGAAATCTGGAGACAGCAGAAGGTCCTGCTTATTTCCTGACAGCTCTGCTGCTCTGTGGGCCTTTGGCTCTTCATCTTCCCAGCCTGTGCAGTGGGTAATGCCTGCCGCCGTGGCATGGCTCTTTGCAGCTAGCTTGTTTTCTTTTAACTTTTTTAAACAGAGAAGATGACAAAGGAGTTAGACAAAAACCGTTTTTAAAAAGGTATTTGTTTATTTTACTTATGTATACATACCTTCTTGAGTTTATGTGCGTCGTGGGTATGCGGGTACCCATGGGAGCCAAAAGGTACATCATATCCCCCAGAACTGGATTTACAGGCAGCTGTGAAGCAGTTATGCCCAATGTGGGTGCTGGGAACCAAACCAGGGTCCTCTGCAAGATCAGTAAGTGCCCTTAACTGCTGAGCCATCTTTCCAGCTCCAATAATTGCTTCTTCTTTCAAAGTGAGGGCCAGGTGTGGTGGTGCATACCTTTAATCCAAGTACCTGGTAAGTAGAGGCAGGCCTATCTCTGTGAGTTTGAGGTTCAGCCAGAGTTACATGATAAGACCTTGTTTCAAAAAAAAAGAAAAGCGAGAACTAGTTTGAAAAATGTTATATATTCCACTCATTCATTGCTTTAAGTCTCCTTGCATCTCCTCAGCAATTGAAATCCTGCCAGACTCATCATTCACCATTGATTGACTAATGTGGAATCCTCAGTACCAAGTGATGTGTGTTAAAGGCACAGCCCCAACTTCAGTTTGAGGTTCAGCCAGAGTTACATGATAAGACCTTGTTTCAAAAAAAAGAAAAGCGAGAACTAGTTTGAAAAATGTTATATATTCCACTCATTCATTGCTTTAAGTCTCCTTGCATCTCCTCAGCAATTGAAATCCTGCCAGACTCATCATTCACCATTGATTGACTAATGTGGAATCCTCAGTACCAAGTGATGTGTGTTAAAGGCACAGCACCAACTTCACAAAACAATGCTTTTGATGAATTTATATTTTCTCTCTGTTTTCCTTTCCCTCTTTCTCTCCTACTAGGGATCAAATTCGGGGTCTGTGCAGGCCAGGGAAGTGCTTTTCCACTGAGCTGTACCCCTAGCCCTTTATGTTCTATCTTTAATTAGAGATTTCAAAGTGTCTTAGACAATATTTAGATTCCTGTTATTTTAACTCTTTTGAAATGGGAAAAGGAACTCTTCTAGCATGGCAAAGGATCAGACTGGTGCTTCTTGCTTTTTCACAGACTTTGATGTTCTTGGATGAAAGGTGCTACATAAATACAAAGGATTATTAATGTCACAATTTGAATATTTGTCACAATAAAGGCCAGGCTGTAAGGAAGCTTGCAGCCTCCTTCCTTGGGTGATTATAATTTTTCTCTGGTGATCCTAGTGCTTTGTCAAATTAGTATAATTCCTTGATCTGGGAAGTAAACACAGTGGTGTTGCATTGTTTGTCTCTTTTCTCTCTTGCGGGGAATTGAACCTATAGCTCTGCCCTTGGCAGGCAAGCACTTTACCACCGAGCCAGCACCTCTCTCGGATTTAAACTTGCTGTGTTGCCTCTTGCTGGTAATAATGGGAGACCTGCATATGATCTATCTTCCGTTACTTTCAGCCTTTCAGTGGAATCTACCTGAACAACAAGGAGACAGGAATGTATCATTGTGTGTGCTGTGACAGTCCACTCTTCAGGTAAGATGAAGATTGCGAAGATTAGAACAAGACTTTCTATTCAAATAGCTCCTTCTCATCGGAGGTCTTAGATAAATAAGTACTCTTTTTTATCTTTCATTTTCTGGTGCTGAAGATTGAACTCAAGACCTCATGTATGCTCAGCACACACTACTCTACCATTAAGACGCACCCCCAGGCCCCCAAGCGGTCATTAATTGCATTTGTCATTTGCTATTGCTGCTGTTCTGAGAACTATTCGAAGAAGAGGCCTATTTGTCTTGAAATTTTTTTTGGCATTTAGAGAAGTTGACAAGATTTCCTGGCTTATTTTCTTCCTTTATGTATCTAAGAAAGAGCAATAGAAACTCTGCTGGATACTCATGATAAAGCCATTAGAATTTCTTAGAGGGAAAGTATTTAAAGAAATCTAAACCCTAATAGTATTTGCTTTGCCATATGATTAAAACTGTACCCCTCCCAGGGAAAATGGGTTTATAATTTAATTTAGGAAACATAGGATTTTATGAGGCTCGCTTCCCCACAGCACTTGACAGAGAGAATACTGTGCCCTCTTCTATGTAGCTAAAAGTAAATTTAATTGTCCCTTGATTTCAAAGCCTCTTTTAAGTCAATCAGCATCTAAAATCTTTCAACAAAGGCTTTTTTGTTTAGATATGCAGGAAATAGTCTTTTTAAAAAGTAGATTAGATGGAGAAGAAAGGAAACATCTTTGAAGTCTTGTTTTTCAGAACTTCAAAGATGTTTTGCTTTCTTTTGCATCAATCTTAAATTGGTTTAGAATAAAATATAAATCAAGCCAGCTCTGCGAATCTTCCATTAGGCAGAGCTTTCCCCTGTCCTTTGGGCTTTCAGTGGCTGGGCTTTTTGGCCAGCTGGCTGCTAATGTGGGTTGCATTAGGGAAACCAGACACTGACTGCAAGGACAGGCACAATTAGGACTGATTTTCCTTCATGCTCAGCAGCCAGACACATGGGTGCTGGTAAGGCGCTCTCTGGAAGAGCCAGCTACCAGCCCAGGAGAGTAAGGAAAGACCAGAATGAAGTTAATTGGTTTTTATAAAATGGTGTTAGAAAAACAAACCATTCCACCCTGCCATGTCACAACCATCAACACAGACTTCTGTGACCTCAAGAGGTTTTTGTTTGTTTGATTTTTGGTTTTTGTTTTAGTTTTTAGAGAGGGTCTCTCTGTAGCCCCAGCTGGCCTGGAACTCGCTATGTAGGCCAGGCTGGCCTCAATCTCACAGAGAATGCCTGCCTCCACCTCCCAAGTGCTAGGATTAAAGGCAAGTGCCACCACACCTGGTGATTTATTGATTGTGTGTGTGTGTGTGTGTGTGTGTGTGTGTGTGTCTGTCTGTCTGTCTGTCTGTCTGTCTGTGTCTGTGTGCAGGTGTCTGTGGAGACCAGAGATATCAGATCCCCAAGAGCTGGAGTTGGAGGCAGTTGTGAGCTGCCCAACCTGGTTGCTGGGAACTGAAACTCACATCCTTTACAAGAGCAGTATGTACTCTCAACCACAGAGGCATCTCTCTGGCTCCAACTTCAAGAGTCTCTCTACCAGCAAGCAATCAGTTCTGTTGCAGAGGCAAGCTAGGGATGCTCCAGTCCAGTTCAATACTGACCCTATCTACCTGCAGCATCAGGTCGCATTGGTAGATGACTCAGTCCCCAAGCCCTATCCCTCACTTCCAATGCTGATGGTACTCTCCAGATTGTAACCTGTGATTCTGACCAGTCAGCTTTCATTCGGCTTCCCAAAGCCTTTTAGGGATCCCTTGATTTTGTTGTTGTTGTTGTTGAGCAGTTCAAAGAACTCAGAGAAGCACTTACATTTACCAGTTTATTGGAAAGGATATTACAAAAGATATAGATAAAGAGGTAACTACAGCATGTGTGAGAAAGGTGACAGCTTCTGTGCCCTCTCTGGGCACAGTCTCAAGAAGATTTCATGAGTTTAGTTATCCAGAAACTCGTCAGACCTTGCACTTCAGGGTTTTTATGGAGGCTTCATTCCAAGTCGTTGGTCATAAATGAGCAACTCCCTTCCCTGCATGTTGGAGGTGAGGCTGAAAGCCCCAACACTCTAATCCTATTTTGATGACCAGTACCCACCCTGCATCTACCTCTGGGTTGCTAGTCATCAATCAACATACTAGCTTGCAAAAGGATACTGTCATTTGGAAGACTGAAAGAACTTTAGGAGTTGTCTATGCCAGGCAATGGGAGAAAGGCCAAATACATATTTCACAGCTAACACGGTAAAATGTGAGGCTCAGGTTTCAAAGACATTGGTTATTCCTTGACTTGGTTCTGTAGATGAGAAGTTAGACTTCAGGTGGGCCACTTTGCTGTTAGCTGAAGGACCATGCTATAAAAGTGTAAGGTACTATTTAGTTACCAGTGTGTCTGAGTGTTTTACCTGCATGTATGTAAGTGCACCATGTGCTTGCAATGCCTGCAAAGGCCGTGGGATCTGGAGTTACAGACAGTTGTTGGCCACCATGTGGGTGCTGGAAACAGAACCTGGGCCCTCTGCAAGAGCAGCCAATTCTCTTAGTCACTGAGCCGTCTCTCCAGCTCTTGAGTTGTTTTTTAATCACTTAGTTTTTGGTGCAAAGTCTCCATTTTCATGTTTTTAAAGAACTTTTGGATTTTTGTTCTATTTTCTTGTTGCTGGTGGAGCTAAGAGTGAAGCACATAAGAACGTATCTGCATTTACTTTCTGTTACTGTAATAAGGACGTGAACTAATCAACTTATAAGTAGGAAGGGTTTATTTGGGCTTCATTTTAGAGGCTTCTGTGCTGATTGGTTGGACTTGTTGCTGGTTGTTATGGTCAGGAAGCAAAAGCGAGGAATAGAAAGCAGGCCCGAGAGAGGAGACTGCCATGAGAAATGGAGGCAAAGACGGGAAGTGTGCCAAGGTCTGCCACCACTTCTGGGAGCCAGGAGGATGTATAGAGTGCTCTGTGGGGCTTTCTTGGGAGCATGGCCCTATTCGCACTTTGGTCTTGGACATCTGGCCTCCATAACAATGAGAGTGTTCCAAGGAGTTCATGGTAATTTGTTAGCAGTCACCTAGGGGACTGACAGAGAACTACTCAGTAAGTGCTTCTTGACTCATCAATTTGTAGCATCTTCCCTGCTCTGACAATATTCATGTTAACTGAAGACCTTATTGTTATGAAGCCCCTGTGGACATGTGACACAAGAAACCACAATTTTTTGATGAGCATTTACCTTTTACAAAACAGGTTTTTTAAATTGTGTGTGTGTGTGTGTGTGTGTGTGCACGCGCGTGTGTGTGTGTGTGTTTAACAGTGCCTGTGGAGGCCAGAAGAGGGTATCAGGTCCTCTTGGAGCTGGAATTACAGGCAGTTGAGAATCACCAGACATGAGTGCTCTTAAGGCCTCAGGAGGTTAGGAGGGTCAAGAGCATAGTGCCACATCCTCTTGGGTTCTGGTGAAGGCCCTGTGCTATTTTGAAACAGAGGACAATCAAATGCAGAAATAAACAAGACACAAGGGTGGCCCTGTTATCAACCAGCTCTCTTGTGAAATCATTATTCCCTCCCAAGGACCTGATAACCTCTTAAAGGCTTCATCTCTCAGCACTGCCACAATGGTAAACTAATTTCAACCTTATTGAAACCATGTCAAACCCCAGGGGTCACACACTTGGCAAATGCTAGTTCTGAGTTCACATTCCACAGAAACCCTATAGTGTGCCTTTCCTCGGAGACAGAAGCGGGTCAACACTGAAGGGCCCCACACCCACAGCTTCAGCAGACCTCTCTCCAAGCTCTCAGTGTGTGTGTGTGTGTGTGTGTGTGTGTGTGTGTGTGTGTGTGTGTGTGTTGTGGGAGGGAGCTCATATCACATGAGGAAACTGACACTTGGCAAGATTAAACAACTTACCCAGAGTTCCATAGCTACCAGCTAAAACACTATGCTATGCCTTATGACCCGGGTAAGCCACTTGCTTGGTTCTGTCTAATTTGATGCTTTCACTTTCTGGTGCCAGCCTTCCACATTCCAGCCAGGGGTCCCTAGCCAGATGTTACCAGACTATAGGGATATGCTCGGCCAGTTTTACCCACAAGTTCCCTTTCCAGAGCCTGGTTCACAGCTATATCTTACAGTCCCCCTGATGGCCCTGCCATGTTGGAATGAATGATGCCCATTCTTGGGGAGCTGCTGTCTCCACTAAACTGAGAACCTGAGTCAAGGGTTGCAGGCCAAAAGGCTTTGCAGCATGTTGCTGATCATCTGTGGATACAGGATCCTCTTGCTGTTCTTGTTTGCTTTCTGTTGCTGTGATAAACAACATGACCACAAAGTTGGGGAAGGACAAGAGCTGAGCAGGAACTGAGGCAGAGACTATGGAGGAATGCTGCTTACTGGCTTGTTCCAAGACTCACATTTGGCTACCATTCCTTTCCTAAAAATGTTTTTATTTTTTTATGTGTATGAGTGTTGAGCCTACACGGATACAGGTGCACCATGTGCATGGATATGAGTGCACCATGTGTGTGCAATGCCTGCAGAGGCCAGAAGAGGATATCAGATTCCCCTGGAACTGGAGTTGAAACCGGATTTATGCTACCCTCCATATGGTTGCTAGGAACCAAACCCGGGTTCTCTGCAAGAGCATTATATAGCCTAGGCCCACCTGCCTAAAGATAGTGTGGCCCACAGTGGACTGGGTCCTCCTAATCGGGTAGCAATCAAGAAAATGCCCCAAAGACAGGGCTATAGGCCAAAATGATGGAGGAAATCCTCAGTTGAGGTTCTCTCTCAAGCTGTGTCAAGTTGGCAAAGATTAGTTATCACACTTGCTAACCTTCGAATCCGGTGACACCGCTCCACTCTGCCCTCTTGGCTTCCCTTGTCCCTACATAAGCTGCTTATAGAAGGGTTTATTAAAACGCACTGTTGCCAGGCACAGTGGTGCACAACCGTGATCCCAACAATCAGGAAGGTGATGCAAGGGGATCTTGTGTTTGAAGCCAAACTGGGCTACATAGCAAGACCTTATTTAAAGAAAAAAATCTTCAGTTTTTATGTAGCACCCCGATGTCCTGCCTGTTCCAGGCAACAAAGTACCACTGTTTAAAACCTTGTGTGTCTCTGTTCTGAAATGAACAGAAGTGCTTAGAAGGTTAGAATTGCCACTTATCACTCTGTGCTGCTTCTGTTCCCTGGGGGTTGTGAGATATTCAGAAATGAAGGAAAAAACACCAAATAAACGTTAAAAAAAAAAAAAGTAAAAGCCTCTTAGAATATATGATGCAGGATGGCTTCTGTTTGTGAGGAGTGAACCATTTACCCTGCTAAGTAATTAAATATGTATCTTGGAATTTCTAGTGGCCTTAATACTCAGACTGTCAGTCTTAAATGATGTATATCGGGCTTCTTATATTACTTGGTAAAATCTCCAAGTTTCTGCCAATTGCATCAGTAAAGATTTATTATTTCTCATTAAAGCCATCTAATGACTTTTATTAGTCTTGGATTCATTCATCCATTAAAAAAGCTTTATTGCATTCATAATTCTTTGTCAAAATTCCTTTAATGATTAGTGGTGTATATAATATAGAGGGTGGGGAGGCTCTGTCTAAGAGGTGCTTAGGATATCCCCCCCACCCCAGGACAAAGTAGCTAGGTGAATTTGTTCTCACTCTCGCTCTCTCCATTGCTAGGACTCAAACTCCACCTTAGGCATGAGAGGCAGGTGCTCTAACCACTGAGCTACAACCCAAGTCTCAGGTGCATCTCTTCACAGGGAATCCAATCCAAACATGCAGTCACTTTTAGTTGGACCTAGGGTTGCTCAAATATTGTATCTCTGGTGACAATAATAGCAAAGTTTTAAAAGAGTGTCAGTGTGTACTGTGTATCAGGCACTATCCTAAACACATCATATCCCAACAACACCTCAGCCATTCTCCTTAGCATCTGTGCGAGGAGACGACATCATTGTTACTCTGTAGACCATGACTTGGTAGTACCAAAGAATTACACAACTCCTCAAGGGCACAGAGTGTGTCTTCACACCAAGAGCTCCAAGTTATACTATTACTTCAGAGGTTTTCAAAAAGAGCCCCTGGGGCTTCCTAAGATATTTCCAGGGGGGACCAGATGCTGGGGGTTGGACCCCTGGACTTTCTGCACACTTGGTCTATACCCTACCATACCTAGTCCCTCCTCTTTCTATAGTTTAATCAAACAGCCTTGGGGCAGAGTGAATGTAGGAGCGCAGACAGGATCTGTTTATGCTTTTTTGAGTCAGACAATAGAAATATTTGCAAAATTATAAAATAATGCCACCCTTCTCAGGAAGTTCCAGGTTCATTTTAGAAAATATAATTGTCATAAAGATGTTCACTCAAAATGTAGTGAGTTTGATATTTTTAATTAACATAAAGCAGGCATGGTGATGCTTGTTCAAGATCCCAGCATCTGCGAGACTGAGGCAGAAAGATCATGAGTTCAAGGCCACCCTGGGCTGCTACATAGTAAAACTCAAGAAAAAGTTATTTAAAAAATAATTTAATACATACATATTTTAAATTCTCAGTTATAATTTCTAACCTGTTGAACACTGACATTTGTAACTCATATAAACTGATGCTCTAAGGAACCTCCAATAATTTGGGGGGCATGGAGGGGTCCTGAGACCAATGCGTTTGAAGCTCTTATCACATCGCCCTCTTTCTGATGTGTGTTCAGCTGAGCTTCGTGCTCAGCTCAGAGTCTAAGAATTGTATCATTCACCATTCATTACTTTGTGTGGGTTCTGGCAGGGTTTAACTTTGAACTGTTACTTTCACAGCTAGAGAGACTCATCTCTCTGCCGTGTGTGTGTGTGTGTGTGTGTGTGTGTGTGTGTGTGTGTGTATTCAAGAGTGCTTTCCTAGTGCTGTTGATAGAAGCCTTCCTGTCTGAGTTCTTAGAGAATGAAATCTTTTAGTCTTATTTTTATGGTGCTGGAGATCAAACCCAAGATCCTGTGTGTGCCAGGCAAGTGCTCTGCTCCTGAGCCCCAACTCTGTCCAGAGGGTGAGGTCTTTTGTGAGCAGGCTTCCTATGGCCCTCTGTTCCCCCTTCCAGCCCCTCCAACCTGCTATGGCCATCGACATCATTTGTCCCTGGGAGATCACCTGAAGCACCAAGCTTCATCCTGTAATTGGCCAGAATGCCAGGCGTATGGATTAATAGCGACAACTGTAGCCAGTGTTCAGGAGCACCTGCTGTCTGCCTAGCATTGTGCTAAGCTCTCCACTTAGCTCCACAGAGCATCCCCTCAAATCCTCAAAATATCCCTGCAAACTAGATATTACTGTCCCATTTTGCAGGTCCTCAGGAGGCTAAGTGTCTGCCTTCACACCAGTAAGACATGGCAGGAACAGCTTTTTTGATTCTCCATGCCAGGCAGCTCCCATGTTCAGATAATAGAAGTTCCCGTAGCTACAAACTTCTGTGTCATGAGATCTTAAAGAGCCGTGTGGACCACACCAACCACTGTTCTTTCTTTTGGTAGCTCCTTTTTCTGCCTTTGGAACACATGAAGGAACAGCAGAAACATTTCCCTGGAAGTGGCCATTCAGGAAACTCAGCTTGGGCTCTGGAGAGGGATATGGGAGTCAGGCCCTGCTCAGAACCAGGAGATGGGACTCCAGTGTTCACAGCAGTGTGTTGAACCTCTGTGGGGTGGGGACTGTCTTCCACAGTTCTGAGAAGAAGTATTGTTCGGGCACTGGCTGGCCTTCATTTACAGAGGCTCACGGTACATCAGGCTCAGATGAAAGTCACGCAGGAATCCTGAGACGCCCGGACACTTCCTCAGGATCTGTTCGCACAGAGGTGGTCTGTAAGCAGGTATCTATCACTTTGCTTAGTTTTCTCTGGGAGGAGAGGAGCTGTGTGTGGCACCTCTTTTCTTCTTCCATGGTGTACTTTGTCATCAGAATGCCCTGGGCTGCCTCTACTCATACCCAGAGGTATCCCTCTCTGCCATCCCGCTGGGCACTGAGGATGTAGGTAGCACCTCCCCACCTCCTTCCTGCTTTGCAGCATGCCACCAAAAGGCAGACACATCCTCTTCTGTGAGCCTGGGAAGAGGGAATGGCTTAGATCCATACACAAAACTTGTGTTTTTTATTTATTACTGTGTGTGTGTGATATGTGTGTGTGTGTATGTGTGTGTGGACACGTGCCACAGTGTGCACATGGAGGAAAAGTTTCAGGAGCCCTTTCTGTTCTCCCACCATGGGTTCTGGCATTTGAACTCATATCAGCAGGCTTGTGCAGCAAGCATTATTATCCCCTGAGCCCTCTTGTCATCCCAAGACAACTTATAAGACAGAAATGGCAAAGAATAGAGCTGAATTTGGCCTTCAGCAAAGAACAGTGGTTATTGAGTGCTCACCTAGGAGCTCTGTTAACCCTTTCATGCCTTGCTTCATCACAATGGCTGTTATGTAACGATCACTGTGTCCATCTGATAGGTAACTACGCCAAAGCCCAAGTTTAATAATATTCCCGTATTTTCACTGGTAAACAGGGCCACCCACTTCTGCTGCTCTGTGTGTGCATCCATTTGTCCATTTTTAACCAAGTTCTATGAAAGACTGCACTTCCTACAGATGCCACGTTCTGGAGCCAGTGGGCACATGGGGCTGTGTCTAGTTTTGTGAAGGGTTCTGTTTCTACCGAGAGTGATAAAGGCTTCTTTCCCCCACAGTGTGAAGCTCACCTTGGCCATGTGTTTCCTGATGGACCTGGGCCCACCAGCCAAAGGTTTTGCATCAACAGCGTGGCCCTGAACTTCAAACCAAGCAAACCCTGACCACCTCCAGGAGGCCAGTCCTTTGCCCTCTTTCCCGTAGTGCCTCATTCTATAGTTTGGATGAATGCCTCAGTTCGTAGGTAAGGTTGCTGTTGGCTGTAAGGGAGCCAGGGCTTCTTAACCATCTGGAGTCAACTCCACCCTGACTTCTTCTTGCACTGTGGAATTTCACACAATGACAGAGAGGCAGCTCATTCTTCAACAGGATTCCAAGTCTTTGGGTGGGACCCCAGGGTGGAGATTTTGGAGGATTTCAGGAAATGGATGGGCTGACTAGGGTCCCAAATGCTCCTGTGAAATGACCCTGAATTTACCATCGAAGTTAAGTCCTTCATGGACACACACAGGTGAGGGTTCAAGTGAGGAGAGGAAGGAAAGGATGGCATTGAGAGAAGAATGATCCCTGCATTGAAGAGGACAGGGAGGCGGAGCGTGGGAGGCACACGTAGTGATGGGTGAGGCATGTGATTGTTTTTCAAAATTTTAAATGACTCAAATATTCTGCTTCCAACTGTACAACTCACAAGTGGGCTCCAGTGCAAGTTTGTTACATTTCACTGACTCTCTGACTCTGAATAATGTTTATCCTCAAAACTTTTGCCATAGAATTATTTCAAGTAAAATACTGAGACTGATACTTTTTGTCTAAATCTGTGAATTTGCTCTTTTATAAACATAACTCTAAATCAGAACAACAAAAAAAGAATCCAATCATGTGGTAGTAGGCATTTGGACACCCCAGGATAATTGCTGTTCAAGCATTTTACAAACTGAGGTTATGAATGATTCGTTAGTAAAAAGTTCTAAAATCAGGACTAGAGAGATGGCTCAGCGGTAAAGAACACTGACCTTGCAGAAAACCCGGGTTTGAATCCCAGCACCCACATGGCATAACAACTGTCCATAACTCCAGTTCCAGGGAATCCAACAACCTCTTCTGTCCTCCGTGGGCATTGCATGACATGGGTGCACTTACCTACATGCAGGCAGCACATGCATACAAATAAAATAATAATAAATTTTTTTAAAAGTTCTAAAATCATTCTTTTTGTGTTATTTGAAATGTAACTCCCCCATTTTCCTCCTACTAACTTTTACATACTATTTGACATTTCTTTTACTGGCTAACCTAATGCAAAACCATGACTTTTGGCTTCTAGAAAAAAAAAATATTCTTCACTACTTTGTGTTTCTGTTATTTATCTATTCAGTTTGGGGGTGGGTGTGCACATGGTTCCCAGGGGTCAAATTCAGGTCGACAGGCTCAGCAGCAGGTGGCTTTGCCTACTGAGCCATCTCTCCACCCTTAATTTTACATCTCAACACCCTAAAATAATCATTATTTACATTAACATTCCCAGATAACCATTATGAGTATATAGCTGCGAAGGCCATGCCATTTTGTAAAGCTTCTCTGTTTTGGTTAAACGGTGGCAATTCCAGAAACTAAGGTAATTCGGTTTCCAGAACCCAATTGTTTCTCTAAATTCCTGTCTCCTCTGTCCTATGAGAAGAGTTGTTCATTAATCACCTGTCTCACCACTCCCTAGCTACCCCTAGCAACGATTAACTTCCCACTAGAAAAAGAAACTTTTCAATCTACTACCTACCCCCATTCTTCTGAGACCTGTAAGGAGTGACCCCAGCTCTACCACATGGGCCTGAACACGCCTCAGAGCCCCACCATGTTGCTGCCATCTGTCTGTCTATGGAGTTAATAACTCTTCTACTAAATCTCTTATTCCGAAAGAACAACCAGCCTCAGGGCTCCTCTTGACCTCCAAACCCCAAACCTTTCACAGAGTTGGTATTTATATTTACCTGCATGTTTGTCCTATTTGTTACTCTATTTCTTCTTGAGATTCCACAGTTTTCTTTTTATGTGTGTGTGTGTGTGTGAATGTGGATGTGGGTGTGTATGCCCATGTGTATGGGGGGGACGGGGTATGTGTGTTCCACAGATGCCAGAGAAGGACTTCAGGGGTCCTGCTGAACCACTCTTGCTTTATTCTTTTGAGACAGGTTCTCTCACTAAACCTGGAACTAGGCTCGCAGTCAGCAAGCCCAGCGATCCTTCTGCCTCTGCCCCACACAACCCTGGGGTTACACGTGGGTATGCAGCCACACTCAGCCCTGAACACCACTGCTAAGATCCTAGCTCAGGTCCTCATGATGATGAGTTAAGTGCTCTTACCTGCTGAGCATCTTCCCAGCCCCTAAACTTGCCCACATTCTTCCATGTGATTGTTTTTCTCCTGCCTGAACTTTTGTTTCTTCTTTTAGTTTGTGTTTCCTCAGTTTTTGTGGATTGGAAAATGTGCTCTCCTTGCCCCCCCCCAAATTCTCCTTTCATCTGGACTTTAAAGATGTTCTGCTCTTAATTTTTAAATAAAAACCAGCTGCTACCAGGTAGGCTTCTAGTCTACATATCATTTGTCATTCTCATCTTGCTGCCTTCAAGATTAGCTCACTGTCTTTGGCTTCTTCTCTGCCTGCTTGTGCTGCTGTAACAAAATACTACTGACTAGGAAATTTATAAAGAACAGGACTTATCTTCTTACAGTTGGAGAAGCAGAGAACTTCAAGACTAAGGCACCAGAAAGTTCTGAGTCTGGTGACTGTGTCCCTGCTTCCAGGGTGGTGCCTGTGCCCTGCTGTGTTACCTCATCAGGTGGAGGATAGAAGGGCAGAGGTGATGGTTGCGTGCTGACCTGGAAGAGACTGAAGGGGATCAACCTGAATCCTCAAGTTCTTCCATAAGGACTGTCAATGCATCCTTGAGGACTTCTGCTTTAATCACGGGTTAAAGGCTTATCCCCTAACATAAACACCTTGGTAATTAAGTCTCAACACGTGCACTTCAGGAGGCACATTCAGATGATAGCAGCTTTGGACCGATGTGCCTTGACGTGGTTGCCTTTGTTTGTCTTCTATCTAATGCACTTTATATCTGAGTTTTTTGTTGTTTATTCAATGCTGGAATTTTTTCTTCACATATTTCCCTGCTGTCCCTGCCCCCCTTCATTCTGGTGTTCAGTTACACACCATCTTAACCATTTACTGTCATCTAACAGCTCACTGAGTTTCTGTCCTGTTCTCAGCCTTTTCTCCCCCTCTGTTCTCCATCTTTAGCAATTCCTCGATCTCTCTGAGTTTTCTTCTTTTTTCTGCCACAGCCATTTGGTTTTAGGGCTGTTAAGTGATTTTTTTTTTAAGTTTAGGCAGTGTATTTTTAAAAATATTTTATTATTTTTATTTTATATATTACCTGTAGTGAGTGTATTACCTGTATGTGTGTATGTGCACCCTTATCCTGCAATGCCTGTGGAGGTCAGAAGAGGGCATCTGATCCCCTGGACCTGGAGTTACAGACTGTTGCTAACTGCCATGTGGGTGCTGGGAATTAAACCCAGGTCCTCTGTAAGAATAGTCAGCGCTCTTAACTGCTGAGCCATCTCTCTAGCCCCAGATAGCATATCTTTTTTAGTTCTAAAATTATATTTGCTTTTTCTGTGCTGTTTCTGGCTTTTTGAGGCTTCCTGTTATTCTGCTGATATTCTGAGTTATTGAAAGCATACCTTGTATTATACCATGGAGGGGAGTTAGACTAGCCAATGCTAAATCCTTATCTGTTATGTCAGAACCCTGGTTCATCTGGGATTGACTAGACTTAGTTTTCTTTTTTGCTGAGTATGCTTCCTGATTGTTTGTTTGGAATTGTTTTCCCTTTACATACCACGTAATTTTGCGTTATTGGTTCTCTCCTTGACATAGATTCCAGAGATGAAACTCAGTTTGTCAGGCTTGTGCAGCAAGTGCCTTTAGCCACTATGCCCTTTCTGCCCACCATGTAATTTGGGGTAATGTCATTGGTATTATGGAGATTTATGGAGATTTTAAATTCTTCAATTTCCTCTGAAGAGTGTTGTTTCCTTTCTCTTAGTGGATAATATTGTTAGCTAGATTTGAATTGTGAGATCTTTTTCTATTTTTTTAAATTTGTTTTTATTGAATTTTGTGTGTATTTCACATAGAACATCTCAATCAATCTTAATCATCTTTATACCCCCCTTCCCCGCTGGCACCTTCCCATAGCTCCCCCTGCACTGAAATTCATGCATTCTGTCATTTGTGTTAAGACCTGTTGTGTCAAGTTAGTGTCCTCAGACGTTCCTTGGTGCAAGTTCATCTACTAAGACCTAAGCTTATCTAGAGTCCTTCGATTTAAGAAGATCAGCTCTTCCTCACCCAGCAGTAATGAGTTGCCAATATTTCTTCAGATAAGATTAAGGTCTGCTATTCATTTTCCCAGTTCTATGCTGAGTTATTATCTGCCTGAATTTGTATGGGACTTGTACATGCTGACACCATTGTCATAGAATCATATAAGCAGGTTCCCAGGAGCTCGTAGGACTCCATTTCCATATGGTTGTGTACCTCCTCCCTGGCTCTTACAATCTTTCTGCCCCCTTTTCTGTGATGCTCCCTGAGCTCTGGGTGGGTGAAATTTAATATAGGAGTCCTGGCCAAGGACCAGCATTCTGCACAGTCTTTATTGCCATGCTTTGGCCATTTGTGACTTTTTGTGTTCCTGGCCCTCTGTTGCATGAGGGAGCTTCATTTATGAGAACTGAAATGTTCATTAGTATCTTCTTTACCCCTATTCTACGTTGTGTGAGCATGAGCCTTAGGTGTAGAGGTTGCATTATAGATGTGTCACTTAGGCCTGGGCAACTCATAGACAATGTCTGTGTGTGACCAGTTGTGATACTTGATAATAGTCTGTCTGGTGCAAAAGAAGCTTCTTTGATGAGCAGTAACTGGGATATTTTTCTGTAAATATAAGGACACATATTTTGCATAGTAAGAAATTTCTCCTTTGACCAATTCATCATTCAGGAGTGTATTGTTTAATCTCCATTAGTTCATGTAGTTACTAGGGCTTCTTTCAGTGTTGATTTTAAGCTTTATTGAATTATGGTCTGATAGAATGCATAGAACTATTTCAAATTTTTTGGTATTTGTTGAGTCTTGTTTCATGCCCCAGTATGTGGTCGATTTTGGAGAAAGTTCCATGGGGTGCTGAATAGAAAACATATTCTTTGGTGGTTGGGTTGAATATTTGGTAGATGTCTGTTAGGTCCATTTGATGTATGGTATTGTTTAATTCAGATGTCTATTTATTCTTTGCCTGGTTGACCTGTCTAATGGAGGCAATGGGGTATTGAAGTCCCCTACTATTAATGAGTTGGAATTAGTCTGTGTCTTAAAGTCCTGTAGTACTGTTTTTATGAAGTTGGGTGCAGAGTTTGGTGTATATATGCTCATGATTGTAATATCTTCTTGTCAATTGTTCCTTTGATCAGAATGAAGTGGCCCTCTTTATCTCTTCTGATTAGTTTTAGTTTGAAGTCTGCTTTGTCAGCTATTAGAACTGCAACCCCTGCTTGTTTCTCAGTGCCATTTTCTTGCAATATTTCCCATTCTTTCACCTTAAGGTAGTGCCTGTCCTTGAAGGTTAGATGGGTTTCTTTAATCCATTCAACTAGCTGATGCTCTTAACTGGGGAGCTCAGTCAATTAATATTTAAAGTTATTGAAAGATGTGTATTGGTTCCTGACATTTTAAGTTCTGTTT